TATGCCATAATCATCAGTATTAAAACAATTAAAGACCTGAAATATTTCAGTTGGTGTGCAATGAATCTGAAATATATGAAAGTTTCATTTTTATCATTACATTATGGAAAATAATGACCTTTATCACAATATGCTAATTTTTGGAGAAGGACCTGTATTTGTAAAATTGACTGAGCTTGAGCCATTTTTGTTTTGTTTAATGTCAGTTAGCTCTGGTGGCCATCTTGGATTGGGTTAACTCCAAATATTAATGATTTATAGAAGCATATGCAGGGATTACTCTCTGAGAGTTTCACTTAACTCTGTCCAGTGGCTCAGGAGATGTTTTTCTAACAGACAGACAGTGTTGACCCTAAGAATTATTTTTATTTATCCAGGTAGTCTCATTGAGTCACAAGAACTCATTTTCAAGAGAGACCTGTTTAGGGAGCAGATGGGGGTTAAGTGCCTTGCTCATGGGCCCAGAGTGGGGCGAATGAGGGTGGGGACAAGCGTGGGTGCTTCACCTACCCCACCCACATTTTTTTTTTTTTTTATGTTGATGGCACCGGGGCGTGAACCGGCGATCTTGACCCCTCAGTCATTTCCAACTTCCGGCCTGTCTCCAGACTCCCATTTGTTTCTAAACTACTGGAGAAAATGGTCGAGTCCCAGTTGAAGTGCTTCCTGGAGGGTCACGCCATCTTAGAGCTTTTCCAATCTGGCTTTAAACTTCTCCACAGCACTGAAACTGCCCTGCTGAAGGTCTTTAACGACATCTTCAGATCCACAGATACTGGTGATTCTGTGCTGCTTGTCCTGTTGGACCTCACAGCCGCCTTCGACACCATCGACCATGAGATCCTCATCTCTTTACAGGGCTCTGGGCAAGCCTAGCCAGTCAGCTGCTAGCTAGCTTAGCTTGGTGCCCTAACAGACACATGCTAGACAAAACAACAGTCAGTCAAACAGGTGTTCTTTTGGTAACTGATACCCATCAGAGTTTCATATATATCGTTAATACTTGTTCTGCTGGGGGACATCAACGCTCACGTGGGCAACGACAGTGAGACCTGGAGGGGTGTGGCTGGGAGGAACGGCCCCCATGTTCTGAACCCGAGTGGTGTTCTGTTGTTGGACTTCTTTGACTTTGACACATTTAATCTATTGCATTGATGTTAGGGGAAAGCATGTAAAACATTTACAAAACCTATTTTTATTTTACAGAAAAGAGCTGTAAGAATCATCACCAGAAAGCATTACAGTCACCCATCAAGCACATTATTTTATCAACTGAACTTATTGAAGTTCCATGATTTGGTAGATTATAGTATTTTATCAGTTATGTATA